CTTGCCTTAATTCTTTATTATTACTATTAATTTTTACATTAAGAATAGGTGTGCTTCAATCAATCGGCCGAAGATTGGTATCGGCCGATAATCACATTTCATGGCTCGATCGGTACCTGCCAATCTGGCCAATCTCATAAATCATTAGCAGATGTTTTAGGTTACAAGGAGAGAAGGCGCACAAGCTCTCCAGTATATTATACATAGCCTAAGCTGAAGTAAAATTAATAAAGGGTTTTCTGTAAAGCTGCTTCTGGCCATGACATGTTCACACCTTAATGGTTATAAGAGACATGTTTAAGGTATTATATGCAGCATCCTTCATTTATTTTCTTAGGTAAGGCGAGATCTGCCCTTAAGGCTCATACTTGGAGGGAAATGTGCTTAATGCATTATGAAGCTTGAGGCATCAAGTACTTGGTATCGGCCGATCAGCATGACAAGGAATCGGTACTTGGTATCGGCTTGAAAAATTCTGATCAGAGCATCCTTACTCAAGAACCATTGGTCTTTTCAACACCGAGAGAAACAAAGAGAGAAAGTATTTAGCTCTTAACCACAGAAAGCCTACATTTTTGGAGAGGTGTGCACATCAGTGCACAGCCAATGTTTAGCAAAAGCTACACCAGACCATCCATTCATACTCAATGCAAAAGAATAAGTTGACCTTCACACTTGCCTATAATTTTCAAATGAGTCTAAGGACTCTGGTTAGCGTTCATGTGTCTTCAATAAGGGTAGGAACTAACCTAACCTATTTGGATGGCAATCTCAAACATGATACCATGTGTCTGATATGATCATGCTCAGTCAGATGATAATATTTATGTTGGATTCTCATATCTGGCTAGTGAAATCCACTTTCTTGCAGAGTTTATCTCTAACCGTGATCAACAACCAGTAGGAGGTTTGGTTGGAGAGAAACATTTCTGGAACCGAATGGCTAATCGCCAACTACACCCTGTAAATTATGAAAATCCATCCCTTACTTTCTACATTTACTGTCTGTATAGGAACAGTTATGGACACCCTGCTTTAAGTCCTGCAAGTTGTGAGAGATGACCTTTATGGATCAGATTTATTAGTCCACCACATACCATAAAGGGAAGACATCTGGCCAAGAGCAAGACCAGCATCTTTATTTCAAACCATTCCTGAAATTTTTTTACAGTGTGGCATAGTTCCAATATCCTGATAAAAGAGGCCAACGATATCAAGGGAAAACTTTTGCATGAAGGCTGTATGAGGTTTGCAACAATCCACTGGCAGGTGGTATGGCTCAAAATAACATTCACATAAATGCCTTGACCTAAGGTTTCCTAGAAGAACATTACTCTTTGCATAACTTTTCCACCTGCCTACTACCAAAAGCTTATCCTACCACAGCTAAATGATTCTCACAAATCAGGACATGCATCTGATTAAAAGAAAAAAACAACAACAAATAATCAATCAGAATAATGTATTTCATGTAGTGGACAAGGGTCTTTTCTGTCTTGGCCAGAAAGATGTTTTTCGGTGAGATTGAGCTATAGTAGCCCTTCTGTGTGATTGGAGACAGGCTAACCTTGGGGGAGTCTTGGACTCTAATGGCCCTGTTGACTGGTGACCAGTTGCCCTATCTTGTGCTACTTCTGTGGATTATTACCACTGCATACCAGGAACAACCCACAAACCTTGGCATTTCAGAGATGCTGTGACCCAGTCATCTAGCCATCGTTATCTGACACTGGTCAAAGTCACTGTGATCTTTTTACACTTGTTGTTCGAGGCATTGGTGTCCATACCTGATTCAGAAATGCTAAACTCATGCAGTTTTTAACTCCAAGCAGCTCCAACTCACTTGCCTATAAGTTTCAAGAGAAGCCACGGTCACACTAGGGTTTGAGCTTGCGAAATTCTGTCGAATGGTGCTGTGAAAAAGGGGTAAGATGAATCAAGATTAGGCGTTAAAAAGCTTGCGATTGCTCCATATTTGAAGTTTCTGTGGAGAGATCATGCTTTGATCTTCTATTGGTCTAACGCAATCACGTGATGCAATTTCGCAGATCAGAGTTCGCTTGAACTTTCCATTATAACAACATGCAAAACTTGTTGCACGAGCTTGTGTTACCAGTCTGCCACATTTGCATGTGTTTGAATGTAAATGTATGGCATGAAAAGTGCAGTGTGACCGCGGCTTTAGCCTTGATTAGACCTTGATAAGTTATTTCAGATATGTGCAAAAAGGGTAGGAGTCAACCTTTGAAATCCCTCCAGAAACAGTTCCCCTGTCTAAAGCCTAGCACACACTGTGTGATTTTTAATAATTCTAAGAGATTGTAGCATGTCAGATTGCACGAACATTATCTCAGTTGTCATAATGTCAGAACGACTATTGTCAAACATGGCCAAGCAAGAAAACTCACGCAGATAAACATGTCAAACTAATGATCTTAGGGATCTTGTAGGATTTCCCAAATTCCTCAACTTCTCGCATTCAATTGATTGGTTCAGCACATCCCACAGATGCCAAGACATCTGGAAAATTGGAAGGCCAACATCTTGAACTCTGTCATATTCCTCAAACCATTCCTGAAAGTTTTGCAGTGTGGCATGGTGCCGACCTGCTGAAAGAGGCCACTGATATCAGAGAAAAACATTTGCATGAATGGGTGGATGTGGTTTGCAACAATCTATAGGTAGGTGGTATGGTTCAAAGTAAGATCCACATGAATGCCTTGACCCAGGCTTTACCAGCAAAACATTGCTTCGAGGATAACAGCGCTTCTGGCGCCCTGTCCTCAACCCATATTACATCCCACTACCATATTTCCTACAGGTAAACGACGGACATACATCTGGCTATGCAACTGATGTAATGAAAACTTGATTTAACAGACTAGGCACAATCAACAGGGCTCTTTGTGGGCATAGCTCTCTATCATGTCAAGCATTAGGCTTTTCAACAGTTTGAGCTGTATTAGCTCTTCTGTGTGATTAGATCATGCAGGCTAGACTTTGTTCGCTAGGTGAATAAAAGAGTCTTTGTCTCTCATGACCTTGCCTTTCTTTGCACCAATTTTCTAGAGACTTAACACTTCAAATCAGAAAAACCAAACAAGACTTGGCATTTTGGAGATGCTCTGACTAGCCATCGTCTAGCCATCATTATTTGGCTCTTTTCAGTCTGGTGTATGTTTTTGCTCACCCATTTTCCTGCTTCCAACACATGGAATTCCAGAACTTACCACTGTTCACTTAATGCTTGCTTTATCCCCCTGCTTGGTGGGTGCCGTTTGCAATGAGACAATCAATTCTATTTACTTATCAGTGGTTTTGTTGTTGTGCTTGTTCAGTTTATACTATAGGGATATTTTACACAGTCTTCATCCTTTCAATACAGAACAGTTTGAAAGAGAGTAACTGACTTAATTACTTCAAGGGTTATTTATATCGAAGTTGATATTTAGCCACACTATGTTGGTGTTTCATAACATCTAAGTTTTTACAAGGTGGGTCATTAGCCTAACGCTCAACCCCCAACCTGAACATACACCACCATACACTATAGACAATTTAGCCTACCCAATTCACTTAGTGCATGTCCTAGTGCAAACCGGAACACCCAGAGGAAACCCACGCCAACACGGGGAGAACATGCAAACTCCACACAGAAATCCCAAATGACCAAGCCAGGGCTCCAATCAGCAACCTTCTTGCTGTGAGGCAACAGTGCTACCCACTGCGACATCAACACTAGAAAGGGAGTAACTACCAACTTTCAAAGACATCTAATAGACATCCTAACATGGATGTATTGGCTAAAACAAGGCAAAATTTGGACTGGGAGTGAAAATCTAATAGACATCTTGCAATAGTCTAACTCAGGAGTGTCCAAACTCGGTCCTGGAGGGCCGGTGTCCTGCATGTTTTAGTTCCAACCCCAATTAAACACACCTGAACCAGCTAATCAAGCTCTTTCTAGGTATACTTGAAACTTCCAGGCAGGTGTGTTGGAGGAAGTTGGAGCTAAACTATGCAGGACACCGGCCCTCCAGGACCGAGTTTGGACACCCCTGGTCTAACTAGCCCAGATATAGGACAGACTTCACGTGCAGTCATTCATTCATGTCTGTTTGATGGTTGTCTGTTTTTGGACTTTTGTTAGAGACCTATTCAATTTTCACTGACAACCCAAGTTTAGCCTTGTTTAAGGTAGGGTAAACCTGCTCAAACAAAGCACATCAAAATGGTAGGGCTGAATTTGGAGCTGCTGGAGGGCTGAGAGACCTCCAGAATGACCCATAAATATTATTTTGATATCTGAAAATCCAAAGCAGCACAATTGTATTTTGCAGCACAAACTAAAAGACTATTTTGCTGATGTTTTGAGTTGGGTGGGGGGCCAAATTCACAGAAGTCGAACCATGTTGTAGTTTTGGTTATGATTTGGGAAATACAAAACCCAAATCTTTAGAATTTTCACTAGTCATCTCATACTTTTGATCACTCTTTAAAGAGCCATTCAAACCAGCCACACCTTGCAAGTACTTCAGATATCAGATGAGTTTCACTTTGCAGAGAATTCATAAAATCCAGCCCGGGGAAGTTATTACAGTCACACTGTTTCCTTTGTCCTTCTACAATAACTTTGTGATGGGACAAAGAAGCACTGTAAAGAAACACTAGAATTCAGATTCTCTTGTGTTGCGTGGTACAGTCACGGCTTTGTCTTCTTGCTCTGGGTTCAAACCTGACGACCTCCTGAGGAAGCATTGCTCGAGATTGGTAAACATTTTAACACCAAAGGATAGAACCTACAGCCATTAATGTTAAATCAATAACCATTGCAAGGTTTCTGTAACATCTCATATTTAATACTAAAGGGTGACGATGCCATGGAACAGTTTTAAAGTGGACTTTGTGAGTCAAGGGGTGGGGTAGGTGATGACAATGATCTTACTGTGGATAGTCAGATAACTCCCGTTGTATGCGTGTGTGTGTGTGTGTGTGTGCAGGACTGGGGGAGGCAGACCTCAACCAGAACAATGGCTGCTCCAGCAAGAGTCCAGTGGTGACTGACTCCATGAATGCTGAAGTACATCACAGCAGCTGGAACCAGCCGAACACAGTCGACCCTAATGCCTCAGGGCCACGCCCACATTTGGTCCGCCTCTTTTCGCGAGATGCCCCAGGTCGCGAGGACAACACCTTCAAAGACCGTCCCTCGGAGTCTGACGAGCTGCAGACTATCCACGAGCACGGCGGAGCTGGATCAGAGTGCGAGTCCGAGGGCACCGAGTAGAACTAGACCTTTCCCAACTCCAATTTCTGCGGGACAAAAAGGCACCGCTGCCGAGATTAGAGCAAACACTCAGTATGGCATCTGCAAGCTCTTCGCAGTCAACATTCAGGCTGGGCCGTACTAAGAAGAACCCTACCGTTATGGATCAGATCGGAAAGTTCTTTGGAGGGGAGAAGAAGAAGAAGGGGAAGGTGAGGATTTGAGCAGGCTTGGTTTCAATTTAGCATTCACTTGAGCCTTTACTACTGTTCTTTATTTGCTTGACCTGCAGTTATTGTTTGATTATTATCAGATCGCCACCAGTAAATGATTTGTGTCGTATTCTTTTTTGTTCGTTTGTTTGTTTAGCACCTTTAATTTTTTGATATCTTACGAATCGAATACAAGCGAAACTATATTATCCAGTATTGACTATTTTGGTTTGTTATGGGGTTTTTACTGTGATTCAGGGATTAAGGATGGAGTGTGAGAATTGTTTGTATAACATGACTTTTATAAAATGTATTTGAGACGCCTGTACAGGAACAAAATGTAGTGTTTTTACAACTTTTCACTGACAGTTGTGTGGTAACCAGCAAAAGATGGTACGCGTGGTATATTATACAAAGAAATTTAACGGTACAACGAGAATTTCCACATATCTATGAGCTTTTCTTATGTGACTGATGAGTATCTTAGATTTTATAGCCATTTTTGGATCTAAAGTATCTTATAGAATCACCATGGCATTGAGGGAGCACCTCAGGGTTTCCGTGGTACAGAATGAGGCCGTTACAGATCAGCTTGGTTCCTAAAATGAATTTTTCATAGTATTGGAAATGATTTTCAACAGTTATGCTTGCACAATTATGCAATTTCTAGAGCCTTAACCTTTACAACAACAAGAGTGGGAGATAAATATAGTTCGGTGACAAACACCAAAGTTCAGACATATTTTGGAGGAGGATTTTGGGGAAAATATTCAAAGAGATCTCAGTGATGTACGTATTGTGACCTTATTTCAAGTGCCATATGATGGTTAAAAGCTAAAGCTGAGGAATTGCTAACATGTGTAGCATCTAACCTTTATTAAATAGTTTTAATATACCTAATCTTTTCATGAGGAACTATGTGCTATAGTTCCAGGTGTATAATAGTTTATCTCAGACCTCCATTTTGCTGCTTCAACCAGACTTTTGAAAATGCCTCAGGTTAATCATCTCTCATCTCTGTAACAAATGTGATCTGTTAGCGTTTAATGCTTCACTAGTAACCCCTATAGATTGTGTGTTGTTCGTAACATTCTGTACGAGTTTGTGTAACCCAGAACAACCCTGAAGCTGTTCCCGATCCTGTCTTTGAGCTTTTTTTTTGACATTTGTTGCTTGATTAAAATATATCTAACAACATGAACACTGAATTTTTGGTCTGTTTGTTTAGAAACTGCGAGGCTTAGATTGTGCTTTTAATAAGAAATTTGCAAAGCCGCCAAGGTAAAGTGGCGTTATAGCAATATGTTTAGCCACAAATGAAAATTCTGTCACTATTTACTCGCATTCGAACTGTTCTAAACCTTATTTGACCGCAAAACAAGATATTCTGAAGGATGTTAAAAAACTAGTAGGCATTGACATCTATACTAGGAACGAAAGATATCATGGAAGTCAATGGCTGCTGCTTTTCAACACTATTGAAAGTATCTTCTTTTATGTTCAACAGAAGAAAGAAACTCAAGCATGTTTGAAACAAGTGGAGGATGAGGGATGAGTAAATGATAAGAGAATTAGCAATTTTGGGTGACATTTTTGTTCAAAAGGCTATATTATTTGAATGGTGTTTCCCAATGCGACCAATTTTAAAGCCTCTTCACCGAAAGCCATATATTAGTCTCTAATGCTTGATGTTTTGTTAATGTTTAGGCTCAGCCATCTGTAATGTTGTTATAAATGATAATCCAAATGTTTATAAATCCAAATATTAGTTGGTTTTAGTTTGTAATAGGCTTTCTTAAAAATAAAAAGTGTAAGTAGCTACTGTCACAACTAATATTAATACAAATGAATATCCTGTGGGTACAAATGAACCCCGAGCAAGTTAATAAATGTACGTTTTTATTGTAGTCTGGCTATTAAATATATGTCAGATCAGTTTTAAAAATGTTTAGCTTTAGATTGCATCTTTTTATCAATATTTACAGGATGCTTCATTCTCCAGGATGATTCTTCAAACAGTTTTAGACTCTTAGATATTGATGATTTGAAGTGAAGTTTATTCATAAACTAATTTCGAGAGGATCACGTGCTTATGATTGTCCACAGCTGGTCCTGCATTAGCTAACCCATGCATTAGCTAACCAATCAGACGATTCCTAAATCACTAAAAATCACCTGAGTTTCTTACCTCAGTATCTTCGGTTTGATATTAGTAGATGGTTAACAAACTATGAACAACTAATCTGTAAAGTGTGAGTTAATATATTAGTTAAGTGTTAGTTATTAGCTTATATATGTTATTGGGACGTTATTCTTAAGTTGCAACTATTCCTCATTTACTAACAGTTAATAAATGAAGAATATCTGCAACTTAAGAATAACGTCCCAATAACATAAACTATTAACTGATACTTTACAAGTCTTTATTAAGTAATTTACTGACAGCTTGTTCATCATCTATTACTAATTTATTAGGTATAGTTATAAATCATTGAAATACAGTAAACAAGTCATATATAACTTGTTAGCTAACAGCTTGTAAGTTATCTGTTGGCTATCTATAAGGCACAGTTATAAATAATTAAACTAATAACTTTTATTTAACAAGTCATTTATAACCCATTAACTAACAGTTTATCAATGGACTATTAACTAGTTATAAGGGATAGTTGTTCTAAAGTGTTACCGTCATTGATTTCATTTAATATTAACCTCTGGTGGACACAATGTTTTCAGCAAAAGGGTAGTCTTGGTTTAATTTTGGAGACCTCCAATCAGAGATCATTCTCAATATTCAGTTTATGGCCTGTATTTATTATTAATGTATTTGATTGCCATAAAGGTGTCAGATAGTTTAAACCAGTGGTCACCAAACTTCCTGTAGATTTTAGCTCTAACCCTACTTAAACACACCTGAATGAGCTAATCAAAGTCTTACTAGGTGTACTTGACACACCCAGGCAGGTGTGTTGAGGCAAGTTGGAGCTAAACCCTGCAGGGACACCGGCCCTCCAGGAACAAGATTGGTGACCACTGGTCTATAGTGATGCTATAAAAATCAATCTACTGCATCTGACAATATTGCTGTGTTGTTTATCTCACGTACAGTAAATACACCAATCCTATTACCAAATGGCTGAAGGCTTTGCATGTAGTTGTTAATGTACCTATATATTAACTGCTATTTTTATCTTCTGTTGGTTATGAATAAAATATGGTAATTCTAAAAGTTTAATAAAACTTGTTTGACTTTTGGAAATCACCAAGGTGACTCCTTGTCATTGTCCTGCGACCCCCCCCCCCCCCTTCTCTCCCCATGACGTCCTACCCCCACTTTGGGAAACACTGCTATTCACCTTATTCTCCGCAGACGAGCGGGCGCAGCCATTTGAATCTTTTTGGCTCGAGACTTCCGGTCTCATTCACTTCCATTCATTCTTTGACGTTAAAAACTGCTCATTACGCTGCTTGATGTTGCAATTTGATATTTTCTTATTATATTATTCTACTTGGTCTGTATAGTCATGCAAACATTTGTTTGTAGAGCAAGTGGTTTGACTGTTTTCTGCCATTTAATATTCCTAGTCATTTCTCCCATAGGCGACTGAATCGGAAGTTCTAAAACAATCGCGAAAACAGGCGCACTTCCGCATTTTAGAATAAGGTCAATAGACGACCTCTAAAGGCTCGTACACACCAGGACGATTTTCACTTGCGTTTATCGCCCGCGTTTTACGAGACGTTTTTCAGTATTCAAACCCAAGCACTTTTTCACTGGCGTCAAGCTGAAGAGTATGCAATATCACTCTTTCAACGTTAGATGGCGCTCCACAACTTTAAGCTTCTGACACCCGCTTATAACTTAGAAGAAGAGGAGGAGAGGAAGTTCACGCGATTGTTTATAAAGTTAACTCACTGGTGACTTGAACAAGCATGGACGGTTCAAGCAGCAGCTCCAGCACTAGCGATGAAGAAATGATTAGTGTTCACAAGAGCAAAAAGCAGCTCCATGTTCATATCGCCTCAGGGCGTCTTCTTCAATGTGCGCTCGCATTAACAGTTTTGTGCTTGAGCGCCTCCAAGTGCTGCTTACTGTAACTTCAGCAGCTCCGTGCACGTGAACAAAAGTGCCGATCTGATTGGTGGAGAAGGTTTTCCTGCGGCGCGTCAAAACAAAAAAACGAGTGAGGTGTTTTTTTTTTTAAATGAAGCTTTTGCGCCTGGCGTTTTCACATCACATTGATCACATTGACGCCCTTTATTTAGTCAAGAGGCGTCAAACGCATACCAGTCAACCCTCCCGTTTTTCCCGGGATTCTCCCGTATTTTATTGTTCTATCCCGCTATCATCCCGTAAAGGTATTTTCCTGTATCTTATTATGGAGGGCATATCCCTTATTTTCACATCCCAATGTTGACAGGTATGGTCAAACGTCGACGGAAAACGCGAGCAAAAAACATCTCGCTGTGCACGGGCCTTTAATAAGCAGTATATATATATATACATATAATCTGTCAATAGCCCTTAAAAAGTCGAGGGAGTTCATCAAGATTTCCCTAAACTCAAACTCTCCTCTCGCCGTGCTATTGGAAGGGAGCCCAGGGCTCGAGGATCTTAAAAGCTCAGGGCTCTCACCTGGGACTGCAGGCCTAGCAAGCTTTATTATCAATCATCAGCTAAGTGTGAACTCTTGAAATGTATAATATGAGAAAACAAACCTTAGATGCGATAAACAATGATTTGTAATGTTGTTTTGTGCCATAATAGAGGCACTTTACAACTGTGGGAGACCACAGAGCTAAGTATGGTTCGGGGGTTGGGAGCAGTGAAGTAATAACAGAACACAGCTCAGTAATCACATGACTGACGTTGAATAACTGAAGTTTATTCAGGAAACAAGCCTCAAATCAGGCTCAACCCTTGTTATTGGGGTGGTGTAAATTTGCATAACCAGATAATCCGTTGGACTTTCTGAGATTGACAATAGGGGTAAATAGAAGATTAAAGAGATAGTTCACCCAAAAACTGAGCCAACTACTTGCCTTTTAGTTGTTCCAAATATTTTTTTTTTCTTTTTCTTCTGTTGTATTCGGACAATTTTGGGAACTGGTAGCCATAGGCTTCATTATAATAAGAGAGTCAGTGCATACTGGATTACAACATACTTCAAAATATCTTCTTGTGAAATTCATAAAGGTTTGAAACCACATCAGGGTTGAACACATTTTCATTTTTGCGTGAACAATCCCTTTAAATCAGCCTGAACTCCTGCAGTGTGAGCCCGGGTTTAGCAAAGCAAATATAGATCTTAATAACAGTGCAAAGCAGAATTTCCCAAGCCTGTTCCTGGAAGCCGACAAGTTGAATCAGGTGTGTTTGGTTAGGAAACATTCAAAAATGTGTACTATTGGTGCACCTTCAGGAACAGGGTGGGGAAATAGTGGCGTGAAAGAATGTAAGGGGGAAGTTACAATGATGGAACTGGGAGAGGAAGCTGGAGGTAATGCCATACTGAACATTTCAATACAACAACGTTTGTACAATGTAGAAGCCTCTGTGATCTAATGAAATCTGATTTTTGTGAGTGGTTTGATGGCAGGCTCTCAAGGTGTTCGTCCTGCTTACTTTAGCCCTAATCTACCGAATCAAAACCACCTCCATGATAAATTTGCAGGGCTGGCTATTTACAGTTAAAAAGCCTTTACTGGTCAAACACTGTTTTTTGTTTGTTTGTTTGAGGACAAATATTATCTAAAAAAGACAGTCTGAAGATTTAATTTTATAGACTTTATTTTAATGCGAGCAAATCTAAAATGAGTATTCTGGCTATTTAAAATTCATCTGTTTTAACACCGATATTTTTAAGAAATCTGACTAGGCATGGGACGATAAACATTTTCAAGGTTTACCGCGGTTTGGAAATGTAAAGGTTTTAAAACCGCCAATCTTTTCTGTAATGCCACTCCTATGGTATATGTTTTATTTACATGTTTTTTAATTTAATTTTTTAGGACAACAGTATATCCAGCAGAAAAGTAAAGTAAAGAAATCAGTGTTTTTGAAACTAATGAAGACAGCAGAAGTCAATGATTCATTTGATTTATTAAGCCTGACACGTTTACTGCTCCAAAATATTTTAAATCTATTAAAAATACAATATATTGTGTTTTAATGGGGGAAAAAAGAGTTTTAGTTTTTTT